CTGAAACTCACAGCAAAATATACAAGTAAATGGAAATTTTCCCAACACTGAACTTTTCTAACTTAATCTATGAACACAGGTAGGATGGCAATAAAACCAGCGATTCAGAATAGCAGAATTATATCTGAGCTGAATTTGACACATTATCATAAAATTATTAACTCATCTGCTTTCTAGGGCAGCAGAGTCCAACTGAACTTGTCATCTTCTTCGGCCAAGGACATGAGCCAGTGGGAAAAATGTGAGTACTCACATTGATTTTAATTAGCTTCAGGGTTTAACACCATGTTTTTTATGTTAACTGAAAGATACATGTTGTACTTAAATGCCCCTACAATAATGAATAATGGTTCTTGCAGTGAATTTGCTAAAAATACATCAATATGATTTTAAGGAAAGAAATGCTATGTTGCTCTGGCACATACAGTGAGCTCCCTCTTCTCCTGGACAATGGTCTGAAGCCTGAGTGTCAGAAAGTGACTGAAATGGACCTGAAATGGCTGCTCCAGGGCTCTTTCCATAGTCACCATAAAGATGCTGCATCATCACTAAGGTTTGGGTACCCTACATTTTATAGTCAGACCATTACCAAGTATTCTCGGGTGCCTTTTCCTTCTAGACCCTAATTTGGTAACTAAATACTCCTGGAAAGCCATGGACTAGACTTATCCCACTGTGCAAGGTAATTTGTACTTGGGGATCTCAAAGTATGCTTCAGAAATATCAAGGGGCCAAGCTGCTGAGAAAGAGAAACACTTTGCAGTGCAGTGGCAAATCCCAGATAAATGTACACAGTGTTCCTCAATTCCAGGCTTATTCTTTCAGCCTCAGGATCAACTTTTACTTTTAGAAGTAGTAAAGTTTAAAACCTTCTGAATCTTGGATGAACATTTGCAAAGAGAAGGGAACATTTGTCCTTAAGTACCAAAGGCTTTTGAAAAGCTCTGTCACTTCTTTTGGTTGATGGAAAACAGCATTTGTGGAAGAAACACTATTCTCTAATGAGCTCCTGCTTTAATCCAGAGCACACCAGAGGCTAAATAAACTGCGTGGGTTCAGCCAAATGTGTGCATGGTTCACGTAGGTCTTGCTCAAGCTAATGGATCATTGTTATGCCAGGATATAATGGATAAATTGGCAAGGGTCTGTCCCTTGCATGTTTGATGCAGTCTCTGGATGAACCTGTAAGGACACATTTGCTTGCATTCTATAGTATTCTTTCTTACAGTCAAACCTTGCTTTGTGTTCTCAAAATGGCATAAAAAGTTCCAGAAATAATTCAAAGTAATTAAAAATAAAAGGGCAGGAATCTGATGCCAGGGAGGGGAGCGTTTTCTCTTTTAGCCTCTTTTTGTGGATCCCGTTGTGCCAAGACAGAGAACAGTGAGATGTTCAAATATTAATAAAGTGGTAGCACAGCCAAATTAAAATGCCCCAATTCTCATAAGTAATGTTTCCAGCAGAGCACAAAAGAATAATCAGGCCCCCAAACTAGTGAAGGAGAATTTATGACCCGCCATCTGAGCTGCCAAGAACTCCCTCCACGCTGGCACTGAGGATGGCATGGGAATCACTCTGCCTTTAAACTTCACCCTGTGCTACCCTGCCTCCCCCCCCTTAAAAATAAATAAATAAATAAATAAATAATAATAATAATAATAATAATATATAGTTAATTCAAGAAACTCTATCTTTCTTGAAAGGGCTATTTAGGCAAACTATCCCAGGTGGAAGAACTTAAATGTTGATCTGCACATGTTGTATGTGCCTACCCTGGATGTTGCAGACATACCTAGGGCACTGTTCTAGGTCTGGACTGGTCTTGTCCTATGGTTCAGGGTAGACTTCTAGTCTCAGCTATTTGCCTGAGTAGCATAAAACACTTTGTGTCTTGAACCACTCTAGGGAGCAGGGTTTTTCTGTTGGCATTTCTGGACTAGCCTATCTCTCATGTGGCTAGCCAAAATAACAATGAACCTGGCATGGTTGCCAGAGTGGTTTCGCCCTGTCCCATGCTCCTTGGATATCCTTACCACAACACCATCACGCTTTCATGTATCACATGTTCTCATTTTTTGTATATTTAAATTGTGAGCTTTGTTTTCCTTGTGCAGCAACAATGACAATACAGACTCATGCACAGTGAGCAGTAAGGGAGGTTTTCCCAACAAATATGCAATTATTTTTAGGAGCAAATGAAACTCCAAATACTATCAGTGTGTTTTTAATGAAGCTCTTCCCTGTGCTACTCCTCTCCACCTTCCACTGGTCAGGACACAAAGATAAACTGGGCTAACAGTCACACTCACTTTATTCTGCATCTCTAATGATTTTGAAACATGACATTTTGCTTTACATTCTCTTCCTCTGTCATGTATTCTGGTTCACCTCAACTTCCCATGATGGCATACTGAAGTTTTATTTGAGTGCCTTTTAGTACTGTATTTGCTAGTCAGATAAAACATTCTCTTTCTAGACTGTTTTTCCAATCCAAAAACTGTCCCACATACATTTCAGCATTGATTTTGTTCCAATCTCTGGCTGGATATAGAAATGTTTTCTAATACCAGGAGTCCTAAATGAAAATTTTGAGAGGCAGCACGTACTGTTTTAACCCTACTTTATCCCTTGATAGACTTCTGTAACATCAATCTGATCTCTGATATCATTCTAACCAAGGTAGTCTGCTTTCTCCCAGAATTTTTCCTAGTGCTCAAGATACGTATTATCTCTCACTTATCACTTTGCATTGTTTACACATTGGTAATTTGTGGTTCTTTATGCTTTGCAATCTTTTCATATAGAAAATGAAATGAGGAAAAAAAAGAAAAAAAAAATGGAATAGGAGGAAAAGGACATGAATCAGCTTCTAGAAATGTAGATTTGGTTTCCAGGGTTTCTTCAGTTCACCCTTATCAGTCATGGGTAGTGATCAAAGAATTAAATGTCTTCCCATTGAGAAAGGTTTAAAACAGTAAATAATTTGCTCATTCTGGGTCATTCTGATACAACATTCCCAGCCACTGATGTATCCCACATCCAAATGGTGACACTTCAGAGACTCCTGAATGATCTTACACAAATGTACCTACTTTCTCCCTTGAGGACTTTCCAGACTTCTAAGAGTGGGAAAGCTCCATTTCTTGCGTATTTGATCCTGGCCCTCTCCTGTTGTGAAATCAAATTTTTGCAAGTGGAGCATGAAGACAGACGTCTTTGAGCCTCTCTTTAAGTGTTTAAATGTATAGCTCTTAAAAACATGCACCCTTGCCAAAGAAATTGGTAGGAGTCTACTGAACATAGTCACACACTGACTCTCAGCTAACTAAATTGAATGTACTTTTCCTGTCCACAATAGGTATTTATCTTCTGCTCATTTCTCCGTGCTATAAAACGCCAGGCTCTACAAGTTTCACCATTACCTACTCTGGTCTCATTATGCCATATGCCTATATATATAAATGTATACATAAGTCTATATATATAGTCAGTTTACAAAAGTCATGCACATCTTGTAACCTCCCTGTGTATATGTTCTCAACACATCTTGTTCTGATAGGTACAAGGAGTAAACACACACTGTGTACAAAAAGAAAGAGTTTCAGCCCATACTTCTGTCCCTACTGCACTGAAGAGCAATACCCTATTGAAATGATATAAGAGACTTGTTCTGGTTTGCATTTTCCAATTCAGGCGGACAGCTGTGGCAACTACATGATAGCACAATCAATGCTGACACAGCCATACATGGACAACATTTACAGAAATGTAAAAAGAAAGGTTCCTGGCCTAAGATTCCAGCCTAATTGAGCCAAACACAATAAATGTGATAATCATTCCTTCTCACAGTGAAGTGAACAATTCAATTTGGAAGGAAAGATGTGCCATTGCTATTCCCCAGTCCTGCTGTTATTTTATTTTATATGCACTGTTACTGCTCATCATAGAGATTTTCCGCATTCAGTTTGGGAGTACCTTTGCCAGAGAGTTCAAATTATGGTCTAAACTCGGGTTAATGGGGCTTCTGAGGGTTTGCCTACACGGGGAAGTTAGAGTGCTATAATGGAAGCTGTTAATTTCCATCACTAAGCCTTTCTGGACACCCTCGGCCAGGCACAAACCAGCACATGTTCACATGCTAGAGCCTGAGCTGGCCAGGCATGAGGGAGCTTTGGTCTGACAGCTGTAGAGCTGTGAGAGCACAGCGCTTCTCCCAAACTCTGCTAAAATCTGGCTGTGTCATCCCTGACTTGGCTCTTCCAGGCAAGAGGCTGTCACCTTCAGGGGAGAGCTGGTGGGCCAGCCCCGGCACACAGACGACAGTCCCTGCCACCCCTCCAGCGGCTTTGTGGCCGCTGACTCCAGCATGGGGAGCATACCCACCCTGCTGCATACACAGTCCCAGGCAGACAAGCCCACCACACACCAGACTTGCTGCAGAGCTCTCTGGGGAGGTCCTCTGAAAGTCTGCCGTCCAACACCCTTTCCAGATGCTGCTGCTTTTGAATGATATTACAACTATTGCAAAATCACTGCTGCTGTTGCAAAAGCAAAAAGGAGTCAGTCCAGCACACACTTTTTAAGTGAGTGATGTCAGCTACAATAAATAAACAAACAAACAAACAAACAAACAAACAAACTCAAAACTCTGGGGGCTGTTCTGCTGCACTGTATTTCTTGACACTATGACGTGGAAGTGCTGCTATCTAATAAAGCTGTGCAGCAGCTTAGCTACTTCCTCTCACCTCTACTTAGCACCAAACAGTACCACTTCTGCCTTTCTTGCAACATTGCACATCAGCCATTAGGTTAGAAGGGAAAGGTGATAAAAGGCTTCTTTTTCCCACAAGAGACATGATCTTATTTGTTAAATTTTTGCAGTGCTTGCTTACTCTGCACCCTTGCCTTTACCTCTTGCTTTGAAGAAACAGCTTGATTTACACTGGACTGAAAAAGGAGCATATTAGGTGGTTGCTATCAAGGAAGATGCCATTGCTTACCTGCTGTCCTCCAACCTCCCATGCACAGGGCAGACTTGCACATGCTGCTGTGGGGCCACTCTAAACAGGCAACACACATTTGGGGTTGCTCTCTGGAGAAAAAAAAAAAAAGGAGAAAAAGAGAAGGAAAAAAAAAAAAAGGAATGAGGCAGACACACAGAAATTATTTAACCTATCACCTAAGCACAGAGGGGACCTGTTGCAAATGCATGGTTCTTTCTCAAGCACAAAGATGGACTCAGCTCTGGAGCCTGGTGGGAGAGAGCACTCATAGGGCTTTAGCATGGACCTAATATCCTGATGCAGCACAGACAAATCAGGCATAGCTGAGGACAGGCTAGCCCATGAACAGATTACCTGAACTTAATCTCTTCCAAGCACAGCACAAGCCTCAAATGGAATAGGTGCAATCAACACTGGTGGGAAGGTGTTTGAGTGCATGGCTCATTTCAATCTGTGCAGAAATACCCCCAGACACCATCTTTTTTTTTGCCCCATTATGTTTATTAACTACAATTAGGTAGTAATTTATACATCAAAGAGAAGTTATGTCAGAGTTCACAATGTTACTCACATAGAAAACACAAAGCAACCATTTTTGTTATACTAAAGCTGAAAGAAAAAAAAAAAAAAAAGGAAAAATAAAACAACAAACTATGAGACAGTTATTAGTGATTAAGACAACTATCTCCCGTTTTTTCAGGAAGACTGATATCTGCTAGTGGAAGGAAATGACTGAATGAACTGCAGGTGTAGCAAGGTAGTTAAATCAACTGGGCCCAGCAAATTGCAGTTTCTCTAAAGGAATGGTTAATAGTTGGCCTGGAAACCAGACACTAGAGGATAACAAGTGTGCAACAAAGAGGAAAAAAAAAGACAGCATTACAGATCTTATTTTGTATCTCCACACCAAAATATGTACTGTTGTCTCTGATTCAACTGGCACAGAAAGTTCTACAAAAACCACAGTAATGCTAACAGATATACATCCATGAAACCTTAGTCTTTTGTTTTATAAAGACAAAGGACATGACAAAGCTTCACTTTAAATAGAATCATAGAATCATTTAGGTTAGCAAACACCTCCAAGATCCTGATGTTCAACCATGGCTAAGTTTACCAGTAAACCATGGCAGGACCTCACTTAGCCTCGGTGAATCTCATATGGTTGGCCTCAACTATGCAGATCCCTACCCTCAGGAACCTTCCTACCCTCAAGCAGATCAATGCTCCCACCTAACTTGGTGTTGTCTGCAAACTTACTGAGGGTGCACTCAATCCCTTCACCCAGATCATCGATAAAGACATTCAAGAGAACTGGCCCTAGTACTGAGCCCTGGGGGACACCAATAGTGACCAGCCTCTAACTGGATTTGACTCCATTCACCACAACTCTTTGGGCCTGGCTACCCACCTAAGTGGGTCACCTTGCCACAGAAGGCAACCAGGCTAGTCAAACAGGACTCACCTTTCATAAACCCATACTGACTGGACCTGATCACCTGGTTATCCTGTATGTGCTGCATGATGGCACTCAAGATACCTGATCCACAGCCCTCCCCAGCACCAAGGTCAAATCAACAGGCCTGTAGTTGCCCAGGTCGTCCTCCATTGAAAAATGACCCATGATCAAAATAAACACACCAAAGTTCTGCCAGTGACACTGGGCTTGGAGCTGGGTACTGATCTGCTGGCTCGTCCTGTTTCTCCCCTCATCATTCCCTGCAATTGGAGGCATAGAGGAAAACACTACCTGTGCTCCTGATCCCTTAACCAGTTGTCCCAAGGCCCTGAAGTCTCTCATTTGCCCATGAATTTCTTGTTGGAACTTCATCACAGCCTATGTGAATCAATAATGAGTAATAATCTGAGGGCCACACCAGGGCAGAAGCTTTCTCTCACATCTCTAACCTGGGCCCCACGGAGGCAGCAGACTTCCCTATGAAGTGGCACCATTCAGCATATTGGGCCTTCTGTTCCCTTCAGAAGGGCATCTAAAAACAGTTACAGTCTTTGAGTAAAAGTGGAGAACCCATGTTAAAAACTGCATTTAGGTTAAGGATATGAAGAGTGGTTACAATAAGAAAAAATTCTACCAAAAAGAAGACGGCATAAATCCTTGTGTTTTCTCACGAGGGGACTTTGAGTGCATACTTGCACACACATACCATCATCCTCCTTCTGGGTCAGGGTGAAGCCTTTCCTGCCTCTTCCCAGAGTCCCCCTTGACTGTAGTGGAAGATGGTCCCTCTGCCCCAAAAACTCACAGCAAAACTTCCCCCATCATTGTCACAGACTTTGCTGACAGAAAGACATACGGAAATAAAGTTTGACTATATTCCCAAACCAGACTTAACGGAGTATGAATGCCTGCTGCACACATGAACAAGCTTCAGTTGTAGAAATAAGCCAGAGCATCCCAGGTTCCTGGGTCCCCCACACTGAAATGATTTGGAAATCAGGATATTCCTGCCTCCACAAAGGTGGAAACAATCTTGGCTTTGCTAAACTGAGTTAATCTTTCTCATTCCCATTTATTTCATGCAAATTTTCAGAGAGGAGATTTGGGTTTTAGGCCTATATTGATAGCATAGCTTTTCTGTACTTTTTGTACCTTTGCCATTTAGACAAATTGAGAAGAAATACAGCATTTAGCATCACAAACACTTTCTGCTTTACCTTTCCATTCTCATTGCTCAGGTGTCCAAAGGCTTTAGGGAATATGCATTTCATGTGTCACAAGGAAAGATAGGATGTGAACTCAACTTCATCAGCTCCTTTGTGTTTTGAGCTGATACTATGCTCACAGAAAAAGTCTCTCCATACAGCTGAGCTTTCGTCAAATCCTGCACAGGTTTTTTGTTGATGTTCTCAGCCCAAACAAATCATACTGCAATCCATCACAATTCAATGAATGCTTAGCATACTTGCCAGGTTGCTTCGTAGTTTTGCCATGCTTAGAGATGCTGATGAAAACTTGTTTTCATTCTGTCTGCTACCACAGGAATTGTATTTGTTAAGCTACACCTCTTTCACAGTTTGTATGGAGAAGGCAAAGAGAAAATCCTTTCTTCAGTCACTGACATTTCAGCTGTTTTGACTGCAGCAATTGAATCCGACAGACTTTCATTCTAAAATGCAAGTGAAAGTTTTGTTTGGCAGAGAAGGACACAGCCATTTTGAGACATGTGAGACCCGCTCTTTTTTAGTCACAATTTCACAAGCTGTGGATGCTCCAGTTTTCAAACATGCTTATTACAGTTAGCTCAGATCCCAAGTGCTCTGGCGTATATAATTCCTGAGAAAGCAGTTCTTCTGGCAGATTAAGGGAACAGTTTGCTTTTGCCTCAGGCCATTAACATTTTAATAAAATGGTCGTCAACTGTGATAACAATTTATCTTTAGGGGACTTTATCTATTATTAACCTTATTAAGTAACAAGTTTATTTTTGCTGACATGTAGATTTTCCAATCCTCATCAAGACTGATTCCATTTTTTCCTTTAATTTCATGTTCCATTATGTTGCACTCCTTTGCTAAAAGTGTGTTTTGCAAGTTTGTTTGGTTTGTTTTTGCACTGAATTTCAATGCTTTCCATCTCCTCAGAGTTAGGAAAAATACATGATCTCATCAGAAGTCATTAGAAAAAGTCATTTAGTCCTGTATATCAGTCATTTTAGCTCAGGTAAACTTGCAGCCATTCACACTGGGTTATCTGAAAATTATTTCTGTCCCCTAAACTCAAAATCCAGAGAAGAACTAAAATCTGCTTAACAGAAACTATAATTATCCAAGGTTTCAGATGTCTGCCAAGATACCAGGGTTACCATTATTCAGTGTAATTAATGCTTTCACCAATTTAGAAGACTGTACAAACATCGTGGCCTCGTGCTACTAGACAATGAGCACTTTCTATGAGATGATGAATGCCTTTGCTTCTGATAGATTTATCAGTATCTTGCAGGTTCTGGATCCATGCTGGTCACGTATAGGAGAGGCTGAACCAGTTAAGAAAAACACAGCTTTCAGTCCCAACTCTCTCATAAACCAGCTGACTGAAAACCACAGTCTATGACTGGAAGTAAACACAACCTGATTTTTTTTTCCTAATTTTTAACTATTTATTTTTAAGTTTTCAGAGAGTCTTAATAAAGGTTCACTACATCCATTCTTTCTGTATGCCTTCATAAATCCATGTTATTTCTAAGCATGTAACAAGATGCTCTACGAGTTTTGCAAGGAAGAAAAGTCCAAATGTATTCAAAGAATCATAAAACGGTTTGGGTTAGAAGGGACTTTAAAGACCATATGGTGTCAAACCCCCTGCCATGGGCAGGACACCTCCCACCAGACCAGGCTGCCCAAAGCCCCATCCAGCATGGCCTTGAGCACCTCCAGGGATGGGGCATCCACAGCTTCTCTGGGCAACCTGTGCCAGTGCCTCACCACCCTCTGAGTAAAAAATCTCCTCCTAACATCCAATCTAAATCTCCCTTTTAAAAAAAAAAAAAAAACATTCCCCTTTGTCTTATCACTATCTGTCCATGTAAAAAGTTGCTCTCCATCCTTTTTATAAGCTCCCTTTAGGTACTTGAAAGGCTGCAATGAGATCACCCCGGAGCCTTCTCTTCTGCAGGCTGAACATCCACAGCTCTGTCAACTTTTCTTCACAGGAGAGGTGCTCCAGCCCCCTGATTAATTTCGTGGCCCTCCTCTGGACCCACTCTAACAGCCCCACATCCTTCTTGTGCTGGGGGCCCCAGATCTGGATGCAGCACTCCTAAGTGAGGCCTCACAATAGCAAAGCAGAGCAAAGGGGAACAATCACCTCCCTCCTCCTGCTGACCACTCCTCAAGTGATGCAGCCCAGGCTGCAGATGTCTTTTTGAGCTGCAAGCACACACTGCTGGCTCATGCCAAGCTTTTTGTCCACCTGAACCCCCAAGTCCTTCTCTGCTGGGCTGCTCTCAGTGAGTTCTTCTCCCAGTCCATCTTCAAGCCTGGGACTGCCTCAACCCAGGTGCAGCACCTTGCACTTGCCCTTGTTGAACCTCATTAGGTTCGTGTGGGCCCAGTTCTCAAGCTTGTCCTTGATGCCATCCCTTCCTTTTGATGTATCAGCTGCACCACTCCACCTCTTCCAGGATGGACCCCTAATGGACACCATTCATCACCAGCCTCCACCTGGATGTAGAACCATTGACAGCAGCTCTCTGGCTGGGGCCATCCAGCCTATTCCTTATTCACCAAATAGTCCACCCGTCCAATCTGTATTTCTCCAATTTAGAGATCAGGATGTCATGTGGGACTGTGTCAAAGGCCTTGCATAAGTCCTGTTTGTCTTGATCAGTCTTCTCTTGTCAACTGATGCAGTCACTCTGTCACAGAAGGCCACCAGATTGGTCAGGCACAATTTGCCCTTGCTGAAGCCATGTTGGCTATTCAGGATGTTTTTCTGCATAGATGTCACATTATTTCTAGGTCCTTGACAGCTACTGCTTCTAATTGCAGCAAATGGGAAAAAAAATGTATCTAGTCTGTGTCTCTACTGTAATCTTAGGCATGACTGATGTAGTATGGAGATATTTGATCTAATTTTAAGTTAGTTTGTGCTGCTGGCAGGCTGGCTGCAAATGTACCGGACTTCATCAGCAAGATTATCCCCTTCCTGGGCTGGGTTACAACTAGCTGGATGCACCACACTGGAGTCATGCCTGCTGCTTGGCAGATGTCTGGCTCTCCTGGGTGCAAGTTTACACCATCAGTAGTAAGTCTCCACACCACATCAAGGAGCCTGCAGCATAAACCATGAAGGCCCTCTGTCACAGGAGAGGAAAAAAAAAAAAAGTCATGAGTTTGCAAACAAAATCTGACACCATTTTAATTTTTTAAAAAGCTATATAACAATAATCCATGAATTAACAACAATGGAATGAACAAAAACAGCAAACAGGTTCCTCCCAAGGATATAAATAGAGATTGGTTTGGAAAGATTTATGGGGAATTCTGGCTTCATAATTCAGAGTAATCATGATTTGTTATTAAAAAGCTATAAACTGTGACAAATAGACAGGAAGCTCATTCAAACACATTCCTATCAAGTCATTCTGCATGAATCACTCAGTTTGCTGAAGATGGCCTCTTGAGTCAGTAGTTTCTACTGAAAGTCTGAAGACTGGGATGGCATTCCTAACTCTACCACAAAATATCTTTCTAGCATTGGTTAAAAATTACTCTGTAGACTTCTCTGTCTAACACTGTAAGGAGAACAGTCTCTGGCAACACTCATAAGAATGTAAGTCCATTCATATCACCAAGACTTTTAATGCCATGTTGCAAAAGGTGATCTCTGAATGCAAAGCATTCATGGTAGTCCTAGAAACCTAAATTAAAACCTTTTTTTTTTTCAATCTTTCCGTCAAGAAGATTCCTGGAATTGTTTAGATCTGAATATATGCTTTCTACCCCCTCACCCTAGCAGGGCAATCCATCAGTCAGATCTATGTCAGCCATGCATTAGGAGGAAATGCAGGTCTACATGCAAGCTCCCTGAATGACCCAAACTGTTTATTTCAGTTCTAGTACAAAATTACCAAAAATTAGGAGTCTTCAGGGTCCTCTGCATGAGGACAGTTTAGCAGACAGCTCTTCTCTTGGCAGCACTGTTTCCTACAAATGGCCTTGAATGGAAGCTGTGGAGGCTGTTGAGGCTCGAGTGCTTGGCCTGCCTCGAGAGAGCAATGAGCAGAAGCCCTTCCTGCCAATATGCTTCCAGCTACAAGTGCTAATTGTATTATTTGCTTTTTAAAATGCAATACAAGTGAAGCTGTCCTCACCACCATGAGCAGGCAGAATCACCCACATCTAATTCATCTCCTACTTTATAGCCCATTGAAAAGAAATGCAGGTTGCCCTAGAAGCATACAACAGGTGGCTGTGAGACAGCAACCATCCATTTCTACACAGTGTATGAATTTGATCTCATTTGGCTAATTATCCCATTAACCTGTACCTAAAGATCCAATTACTGTAGCTGTGGGTGCCTGAGTAAAGGGCAGCAGCAGTAAGCCTAGAGTGTCAGGTCTGTGCTAACCTTCTCTGGAGCATTTGTACCTGCCTGAGCCAAGCCTTCCCTGAAGTGATCCAGCAGGATTTATGTTTTTATGATGACCATGAACAAACAGCATTCTCTCTCTCTCTCTTTCTTAAGTGAAAATTGGATTAGAGTTGAAGTATTCAAATACCAAATGCCTGAGTTCAAAACCAGTCACAACTGGCGTGTGAGCATGACCTGAATGGCTGCATGGCAAGGTCTATTTGTTGGTGCAACTGGAAAGACTCCTAGAGGAACAGAGCTCAAACTGCATAAAATCTGTCACTGCTAGCACTGGGGGCATTTGAACTGGTCTTGTACAAGGGCATGTGTGTGTATAGTGTCCTCCCTTCAGACAAGCAAACCCAGGCTTCATTCCTTCTTGTGTGAGGAAGGGTGGACATACAGCTTTTAGAAGAGCGTTGATGCCACTTGTATAGCAGAAATAGCTCCAATCACTCATATAGAGCAACTGGAAGTAACATACAATAAAACTACTACACCTTTATTCTCATGCAAAATACCAAAGGAAAGATGGAAGATGGCACAGCTGAAAAATGCATGTGTTAAAAAGCACAGTAATACAAAAGATTCATAGGCCATACTCAAATCTAACCAGTACAAAAAGTTAAGATGAGGATACAAAGAGACTGTCTGTGAAATTTAGAAAGATACCACGAAAAGCAGTGGCATTGATGATAATAAGCAATTATTTTGAATCTCACTAGAAATTATATAAATGGAAAGGAGGAGATATAAAATTTAAAAAGAGGGGAGGCGAGGCGAGGCTGGGAGGCGAGGCGAGGCGAGGCGAGATCATACTGATTAGAACCCTTAAGATCCTTTGGGAGAGAAACATGGAACATTACCTATGAACATGGTCAACAAGAAAAGAAGTGATGGTAAAAATGTAGAGTTGGGACATGCTTGAAGAAAAGGTTTATGATCTTTCAGAAAGTATCTTCAGCAGCTAATTAAAGAACCTTTTGAGGCAAAGAATCCTGTTTCTCCTGACAGTGTAAGGGATATTTATGTAATCCATTGAATCAGACATGGAGATTATCACTAACAAAAACTTCAACAGCTGTTCTGGGAAGTACTGCTTGGGCATTTGGAATTTGGTGGCTTTTTTTTTATTTTTTTTTAAACTGGCAGTCAGCCTACAAAGATCAAATCATTTACCCTGCCCTGTTCTCAAAAACAGAGAATGAAATCCAGACAAAAAGCAGCCTTCTCCATGAGAAATATTTTTCCTCCTTACTTTGGGAAATGTTTTATTTTCTGCCCAAATAGGGAACAGCAAATACCCAGAAAGCTACACACCAGCAAGCAGCTCTTCTAATTAGACTTCACTTCGGAATATCCTTTTGCATTAGCTTCTATAAAACTTAGCAGGCAGTGTTTTTCATTACTGATGCTTTGCCCATCTGCCTTCACATACCGACTGTCTCAGAATATCTGTGCACCAAAAGAACCTGAAAGGCTGAAGCCAAGATGGAGCCTGCTTGGAGATCATTATATTGGTGACTGTGGACAACAGAGCAGAATAATTCCCTTCTATATGACAAGTGATCTGCTGGTTGCCCAGCAACTGTTTGATTGACTGCTTTTCTTTTTCTTTTGGTAATGTTTGGTGTAATTTGTGGGCAGTGTTTCTAATCTCACGCAGTCACAGGTTGTTGATTTTCAATCCTGAGTTTAATTTCTCATGCCTAGAAGCCACAATGCTGGCCATGTTTCATATTACAAAATAGGATTTGCAAACTAATCCGTACCCATTATACCTTTAACCTTGTTATTTTGTTACAGGTGGTTGGGATACATGCAGAAATTTCACATCTGCAGCAGCGATATGGCAACTACATACCACCTCCATCCCTGCATGCCAGGGGTACCTGCACACCCAGGTATTCTGCCTTTCCACTCCCATACTTGCTTCTTTCCTCTTCTGTGCACATGCTCATGATGCTGGTAATGTCCTTGAATTTTTCAGAGCCTGCTGCACAAAGGACACCACCTTTGTCTATATATATCTGTGACTTTCCCCCTCCAGCTTGCCTAGAATAATGCAACTGAGCAGCAATGGCTGTCAGTCCTTGGAGCTAGTGGGCTCAGAGGCCATGGTTTCTTATGCAAGGACTCTTGTCTGGAAATCCTCCCCTTCATATATCTATTGGAGAACATCTTCCACCAGCTTCAGAGGGTGACTTCAGAGGAGTTTATTTGGCTTAGCTTTTGGTGATTCTGCAGGGACTTTGGCGGTTTGTTTTTTAATTGATCTGAA